CGTACCTCAATATAATATAATATAGGTCATATATGACAATATATGTTGAATATAATATATATAATAAATAATAATATATAATATGATGTTAAATATAATGACATCATATTCAACAGTAAAAAATTGAAAGCTTTTTCTCTCAAGTTAGAAAGATCAAAGGAAATAATCAACAATTGAAAAGGCAATCCATTAAATATTTGATAAAATATTTGCAAACCATATATCTGATAAATGGTTAATACTGAAAATACATAAGGAACTCGTGTAACTCAATAGCAAAAAAAAACCAAAAACAAAAAAAACCTGACCTAAAAATGGACAAAGAACCTAAACAGACATTTTTCCAAATACTACATAAAAATGGCCAACAAATACACAAAAAAGTGCTCAACATCACTAACCATCAGAGGAATACAAATCAAAATTAGAATATCACCTCATACCTGTTAGGCTGACTATTTTCAAAAAGACAAAGATCATATATGTTGGTGAGGACGTGAAGAAAAGGAAACTCTTGTGCACTGTTGGTGGAATGTAAATTTGTACAACCATTATGGAAAACAGTGCAGTGGTTCCTCAAAAAATTATACATAGAAGAATCCTATGATCCAACTATCCAACTTCTGGGTATGCATAAAAAGAAAACAAAATCATTACCTAAAAGAGATATCTGTACTCCCATGCTAATTGCAGCATTCCTCACAATAGTCAAAACAAAGAAATAAAGAAAATGTGGTATACACACACACACACACACACACACACACACACACACATATAAATAATTGAAGAGATAATGGCTGAGAATTTCCCCAAACTGATGATCAACCCACTGATTCAGAAAACTCAATGAATCTCAAAAGACAAAAGGTAAAATATTCTGGAGACAATGTGTTATGGACTGAATTGTGTTCCCCCTGAAATTCATATGTTCAAAGTTCCAGTAGCTCAGAATATGACTGTATTTGGAGATATGGTCTTCAAAAAAGTAATTAAGTTAAAATGAGGCCATTAGGATGGGCCCTAGTGCAAAATGACTGGTGTCCTTATAAGAAGAGGAAATTAGGACACAGACACTCAAAGAGGAAAGACCATGTGAAGGCACAGGGAGAAAACAACTATCTGCAAGCTGAGGAGAGAGATCTTAAAAGAAACCAACCATCTTGATCTGGAATTTCTAGCCTCCAGAAATTGTGAGAAAACAAATTTCTCTTGTTTAATGTACCCAATCTATGAATCTTTGTTATGACGGCCCTAATAAACTAATACACAATGAAAATAAAATAGAGGTCAAGAGAGGACAAACCCTGTGTATAATAGGAGATGAGGCAGAGCATGTGGACACAGATTTCCATATGGAGGTGATGAGATCTTATAGAAATATCTCTTTTTATTTTTTCAATCATCTCATAAAAATAGAAAGCAAGGTCATCAGCTGAGAATGAGGGTGGGAGAGTAGACATTTGAAGTTTGAGGAAAGAGGTCATGATATGGTACCATTATTAAGGAGAATAGGAAAATTGATTGCGTAGGGAATGATAGTTTGATTGGCAGACAGCATTATGGATATAGCTGTGATTAGTGTGAATTGAGGTTAGTAAACCAAATCAGCACAATTGGTTATTTTTCTTCAGTATCTGTCTTAGTCCATTTGGGCTGCTAGAGCAAAATACTACAAACTGGGTAGCTTATAAATAAAAAACATTTATTTCTCACAGTTCTGGAGGCTGGAAAGTTTGAAATCAAGGTGCTAGCATATCTGGTATCTGGTGAGGGCCTGCTTGCTCATAGATGGCACCTTCTTGCTGTGTCATCACATGGTAAAAGGGACAAGGGTCTCAGTAGGGCCTGTTTTATAACACTAATGAGCACTTAGCCCATTCATGAGGGCTCCACCCTCATGACCTAATCACCTCCCAAAGGCCCCACTTCCTAATATCATCATCTTTGGGATAGAGATTTCAACATATGAATTTGGGGGGAACACATATTTATAGGACTATAGCAACCTCATTAAGCTATGTGGGTTCAGACATAGAATAGACAACAGAGTTAGATTTAACCCAGGTTGAGCCAAGAAGGTATTATAAAGCAAGAGAGAGACCAAGGAATTGAGGATATATTCAAGGAAGTGA